GCCACATTCTTACCTTGTACAGAAGAACTTATTGGTTGGCTAATATGATGCGGGTCGGCAAGCGTATCAGTGGTCCTGAGCAACTCAAAGAAGCCGCCAGTGGTTCGGCAAGGATTAGAGGCGACACCTTGGGCATAATAGGATTTGGTAAGAGCATGGAAAAAATAATTCGTTTTTATTCCCTGCTTCATCCTCAGTTATGCTATCTTAAACTACTTTTCATGTTACTCGTTAGATTTGGTCTGCCTTAATTCCGAATATTGATTATGTCAGTCTACCTTTTAATTAATTTTATTGATGGGCTATTTTCCTCTTTTCCAGGACGTGTTGGAACAGCTGTTGCACTTCGAGCTCAGGCATTTGGTTTTCGTGTCGTGTTCTACGACCCATACCTTCCCGATGGCATCGAAAAATCTCTTGGAATCGATCGAGTCTACACCATACAGGATCTTTTATTCCAAAGTGATTGTGTTACCTTGCATTGCTCTCTAAACGAGCACAATAGGAGGATCATCAACGAAAACACAATTAAACTTATGCGACCTGGTATGTTATTGACCTCACTACTTGGATATTGTCCATACCTACACATGCTTTCATCCCATCTTTTTTGGCGTCACCCATTTCCCCTTTATTTATTATGAGCGATCTGTCCTTATTTACTTGGCCAGTAGATATGCCCAAGCAATTTGGCATTTCACAGTATTGACGGGATGCTATAGCCGGTTTCCAACAAGTCTTAATACTCTAGTAGAGAAATAGCAGATCGATTGATCTTAGCCCTGATTGTATCTAAAATACGCATTTATGTGATATACGCGATTTTTACAATAACCCATTATCTTTCGCTCCATTCGTTTATTCTTACTCAAATCAATATCCGAGGTATTTGCTAGAAATATCCGAGTGTTTTTAAAATCTATTACGCCAATCTCGTGTTTTGCATTTTATTAATTACTCTCATGTAGGTTATGATGTAGATTTAACCGTGTTTTCTTAGGTGATTCGGCGTGTCCTTGATTATTTCTGAGTTTCTATTTTCGCTTAACAGCTGGTTTGTTTTTAATCTCAATATCTCCGTTTGCATTTTTTTAAATATATTTCAAAACTTATTACCACTACCTAATATCGTTCCTCAATTCTATC